CAGGGACATAACGCAGACAAGCCTTCACTGTGATTACCGGTGTTTTGCGTTGACCATTGAAGGCAAGGATACCAGATTTCCTTTACTAGATAATTTTAACTATGTAAGAGAAAATCGGTTAGAAATATCGCAACCAGAATTAGCTTACAGGAAGGCCATTTAAGTTTAAAGTGCGAACAGATTAAGGGAAAGGCATATCGATCAATACATGTCATAAGTGACAAGTGAAAGGCAGTAAGTAATTACGAAAAGGGCATCTCTGCTCAAACAACGAGTGACTCAACCCTAGACTCTCGATTTCTTGTATACAAGTACCTGAGTTATACTTTAAGACAACGTAAAACATCCAAGTATGTGAGAGTTTAAGGCTCATTTGATGGAATATCCCAGCAACAGAAGATTCTATTTACTGTGATCTTTTTATTTCCAAATTCTATCCTTTCATCAAACCTGTTTCTATCAGCGGTCGCGCCGCAGACGCAAGTCGACGTTCCCCCACTATTCTCGATGTTGTGCCCTTTACCCTCACCGTTGACGAAGCAGCTTCGTTGCTGGATCATCCCGGCGTGTTGGTGAAAAACCGGGAGGACGTCTGTTGCCGAAAGGGGGTCCTACCGGTAACTCCGGAGGTTCATCTGTTCTTTCAGATGAGTCACATGGCCAGACGACCGTATCTTCGAGTTGTAGGCTGCAGTGAGCAAATTCAGCTTTCGTGTCTGACACCGAAGTACTGCACTTGGAACATGGTCTCGAAGGGAGACCTGGCATCTTCTTCCTTACATCGTTATTTGCGTTTCTACTAGATTCTTCTCCTCAGCTTTGGTGGTAGACCAGCGCCCTGCGTTATAAATCATGGCGGATGGAACGGCCTAGTCGAACAGTTATTTTTTCGTTTACATGGGCAGTTCGTTATTCACGAGCAGTGGCATTGTTTTGATGCAATTGAGATTTGTCCATGCCGCCTTTTCTCTGCTGATCTCATCATTGATGTTGTTATTGAAGTCTGTTTGAGTGAAAGAGACGTAGCTATCGACTTCTTCCACTTCCTCGACGTCAGTGAAATTGGTACTCGCGGAACAGTGCTCGTTGCTCATCCATTTCGTGTTGGAGATGTTCATCTTCAGACCGATGGCGCTTGACTCCTACAACTGCACAATGCTTGTCTGAAATTCTGCCGGGTCTTTAGTGAAGAGGATGACGTCGTCTGCAAAGAGCGGAGGGGTGAGCTTTTCTTCGTCTCTGTCAATGCCACCACCCCAGTTCAGACAGTAAAGGAGGGATTCCAACGCGAAAAGCTTAAAAAAGATTGTATCTTCTTGGCGTACTCCTCTTTAGATAGAGATTCGACATGGTTCCTTGAACTTCTTGATATCTGCTGCAGTGTTAGTGTTTAGTTTCTTGAGCATGTCGATGTAGAATGGGTTGATGCCGCAGTCGTGCAGGGTGTAACGCTCAACTGGACGATCGAACGTCTTCCTGAAGTTGGCGAATGCATAACAAACGGGAATTAGAATTCCTTTTACTTCTTTCATAAGTGCTTCACAGCGGGCATCTGGTTTATGGTGAAGACCTCCGTTCGCAAATCAGACTGTTCTGTACCAACGAGTAGTTCCAGGGTTTTTCTGATGCGGTTCAGGATGATTCGGGGCAACAACTCTGACCCGAGAGGGACGGGTCGATAAGTCTGGAGGTGTTCTTTTTCGAATAGAATAATAGTCAGAGGGCTCTTCAATGCTTTGGGCGGCTCCTTCAACTTGATGGACTCTGTAGATTACTCGTCAAGAGCTTTGAAGAGAATCATGCTTCCAGACTTGAAATATATCGGTTTCATGCCGTTCCTGCAGGATATCTGTCACTTTTGATATTCTTAATTGCCCGCCATACTTCTTTTCTGGTGACATCGGGAACGATTTCCGGGACGACGTTCGGCAGCATCCGGATAAGCTTTACCTTAAAGGAATATTGGTTGCTGTAGAACAGCGCACAGATCGCTTTTATGTGACAGCGATCAGTGGTTCAAGTTTTTCGTTCTTTAGTGTTACCGGAGTCCGCGCTTGTAGGAGAATGCCTTATTCTGAAACCTTCCCGTTATTCTTCTTCAATGCGTCTTCTCCTAGCTTTTTTTCCCTGCACTCCTCACAATTCTCCCGAAACTTCCTCCGCAACTCTTTGCATAATAACGCAGTGTGCTTGTCGTCCAGTAGCTAATCATCCTTCATTCTTACTCTTTTGACCAATAGCTGCCTCACTGCGGGGCTGGTGCCTTGTTTCCTCATAGCCATTGTTGGCTGGCTGGAATCCTTAATGGCAGTTTTTATGGTATCGATGACGGGTTAGTAGTTTTCGTCCATGCTTAAGCTGATGTCTGATGCGCGGTTCAGCTGAGGGAGCTATGAATGTTTCAGGATCGAATATTCGTCCAATGGTGAGTGGTGTTTTAGCCTTTCTAACTGGATCTCTATTTTGGCATCGATTGTGACGACGAAGAGAAGTAATCTGAGGCATGACCTCGTGCGGACGATATTTTTTCCAATGACAGACACATCTGCCATCAGCCGCTTTATGTCCGTTAGCAGGTAGTCGATTTGGTTAAG